ACTATTCGTGTCTTCTGAAACAAAAACAAGCAGAAAAAAGAATTTCTCGCAGCAATAGAAGGAATAAACTGTTTAATCCTCTGGTATTCCGTTACTTTTTATCTTGCTAGCTTTTTGCGAGCCAACTTACCTTTCAGATAATTTACAAATATCGTTCAGCTCTTTACTTCTTGCAATGTGTGTAATACATGATATATATATATTCATGATGCATTTCCTCTGTCAGGTAGTGTATATGGTAAGAAAATAAAATGGATTTCAGAAAATAAATAACTTTCCTGGCTTTGATGAAGAAAATGACAAACGAATAAATGGAGACACTGAAAGTTGAGCAATTATATGCATAAAAGACAACGGTTTTCCAGCGTAAAATATTTTTCAAGTTCGCTTCTGTGATCACAGATGGTTAGTCGAAAAGCGTCAATGAGCTTTTTAGGAACATTTTTAGACTTTTATTTAAAGTTATCAGTTTTATTTATGGCTTAAAAGAAGGTTAGTCATTTATGGTCATTTTCTTACTTTACTATATTATTTAATACTCATGAATCGACTTAAATAACTTGAGTATAGCCGTTTGATGGAAGGTAATACTTTAATTCATTTTTCTAACTTACGTACATTTGACGTGAATTAAGCGATTTAAAAGCAACATTCTGCTCAACAATTTATACATTTATAATTTTTGTAATATACGTAATTTACATATTGTATTTAACTGGTATAATGTATATCTAAGTGATAGTTTTTATGAGAATTTGCACGATTATTGTAATTTAAATTTCGTTTAAGATCTTGTATTATGCATCTTTTGACAAACTAATCGTTTGGCGTTTTTATAGAACTCAGGTATTTTTGCTTAAAATTTATATTGTTTTATTAATGTTAGGAGACTATGCGATTGTATCCACCTGCCCCCATCATAGGAAGAAAAAATAAAGAAAGCATTCAAATAGGTGAGTTTTTTAAAGTTTGTTGTTTTTTATATTTCTTTACCTGCTAATGTAGGCAACTAATTACGCTGAAAACTGCCAATATAAGCAATTTAAATAGCTTTAATCTGATGCATTTTCTGTGAATCGGTGAGTGCTTAAAGTCTTAGTTACATAGCGGAAAATTTACTTATTATCTGTAGTGCAATTTACAACATAGTACACTCCAAAACAAAAAATAAGCAACAAAGGCAAAACGCGGAATAAAACAAAACGCATTTAATGTATATGTGTGAAACTGGTCCAAGAGGTTGGTGTGGCATTTTTGGATAACATAGCAAACAATAAAACAAATATATAAAAATGCACACATTTTACGAGCGTCACATCGCGAATGACGAAATGGTTCGGAAAAATGTGAAATGGAAACATCACGCTGATAACGGATATTATACTGTCTAGCTGAAATATATGCTTGACAATGGCGAGGCAAGCTGTCGTCGTTAAATATTTGTTGTGACAGTAGCGCTTATTCCTTTTGCAATGCATGCTGGACCTCGTGTAGGGTGCCTAGCGGCACACTGCGACTTGCTATCCGTTGGCCCAACATGTCCCACACATGTTCTACTGGATTTAGGTACAGTGATTCAGCAGGCTACGGCACATGTGGCATGGTTTCATTCTCCAGGTAACACTACACTACTGGACCTCTATGAAGGCGGGCGTCGTCGTCATAAGTATCATGTCAGTATCCATTGCAGAGATACCGGCATGCTACTTTTTAAAGTTGGAATTTCAGCAACACAAAAAATAGTTTGCAGTCTAATCAGGTCTAGAGGAGGTAAAATTTTATAAAGCTAGTACTTACCGTTTTAATTCTGTGAATGTGCCCGAAGCGGGCTCACTGAATGAATAGAGCTTCGATAACACTGCCGAAGCGAACATTGCTGCGAAGTGCGTAATAGAGCAAAGAATTTTGTCTATGACTATAAAACGCTAGATTCTGATTACTATAGCAGATTTGCCTTACCCAGGGTGCGCCACGGGGAGGGCTGCTACTCTGCAGCCCCCCAAAAGTTCTTCTTGTTAATATGATAATTACTTGCGTATACATGAAAGCAAAACTTGACTATATGATATTTATGTTATTTACATTTCATATTTACACTTTCGCGTATTTTTTTCATGCTGACGCCTTTCGAAGAAAGTGATAACACCTTTGAAAAAGCCCGACACAACATTGCATGTTTTGCACATGTACCGGGATCCGTATCAGATTCACTGTCTGAAGGCAATTCATGTAGAACTTTCAGTGTTTCAAAAATGCGATCCATTTGCAAAATAATTAAAAATCAGAAAAAAAAAATAAACTGATATTATATCTCCAATTAACAAAATATAAACTATTAAATAAAATAAACATCTACAACTCAAAGATATCAAAATATAGAGATAACAAAACTTATTTCACTGAAAGCGAAAGAAAAAAGAAAACTGTTCTAGGGAAAAATCTAGAGCTAATTGATAAAATTACTTCTGAACTTCAGAAAAATAATCCAACAATTTCTTAGGTAATAATCAAACCCCCCCTCCAAAAAAAAACAAACAAAAAAAAAAAAAAAGAAACACCGATGGGGACCCATCCCTTTCTATTGTGAATGAGCTCGCCAGTGAACTGCAGTGAAACAGAACGTTGTGGTCTGATCCTAGTGTTTTATGACGCATTTGGTCACCCAGTTGCCGTTCGATTTTTTTCAAATTTCAAAAAAAAAAAAAAAAAAAAAAAAATAAACTATATATTATAAAGAGATCAGAACACAGCCAAGAAAATAACATATAAATTTCGTTTCAAATAATTCTTTTTACATCCTAAAAAAGTCTGCAAGATTCTTTGAAAAATGAGGATTTTTTTTATAAACCAAACGTGGCTAAAATATGTGGACTGGTTTGTGTTGTGCTGCCATCTAGTATAAATAAAGTAGGTTCAAAGTAACCAATAAATCCTTTTGCATTCAATTTTTCTGTCTGCAGAGCTGGAATTTTTTAGGTGTGTCCAGACGGGTGTCGTGATCTCGGACGGCTGTAACGAAAGCACCAGGAATCACGTAAAGGTCGGTGCGACGGTTCGTTGATATCCCAGCTCGTACAAATAAGCCTCCTTCTCTGCAATAATCTCTTTAGACGATGTTTGGGGCCCTATAGCGTGTCTCTGGTTTCTATTCTCATATCATTGCTCTTCGGGAATCGTTCTGAATGTTGAATCGAAACTCATCCGGTAAAGAGCACGTGGCCTGCGATGTTCTCGGGCCAAACTTAACTAAGCTCTGGCATGCAGGCGGAACAAAGAAATTCAAACTGCAGGTCGTCGGGCGTGCAAAGTGATTTTAACCCCTGCAACCAGCGCGTTCAACAAGATAAGGCTTACTTATTCCTTTTTTGCTACATATTGTATATCTGTAATATTATGGATATTTTTATATCATTTCACTTTTAGGTATTTTTCAAGAATTTCTGTTTTCCTCTATATGTATATAATCTTTTTTTCGCACATTTTTTTGAAGTTTGAGTTTTCTGCATATATAGCTTTCGTTTTTCAGTTTTACATAACAACATGATTTTGTGTTGCTCTGAGACCTGTGCGTTTTCCTATTTCAGTTTGTCACAATCATGCAATATTATTAAGTACCTGAAGTTTTTCTCATAATCGGTCACGCCTTACTTTTCGCCTCTTCCTCTTCTCTCCGGGCTCACCAGCGGCCGAGCGGTAAAGGCGCTGAACACTGGTAGTTCGGTCCGAGATATTCGAATCCCGCGAACGGGCTGGCTGCATGGGCGTTTTCGTGGTTTTCCCCATGTGTAACGTGTATACGAGCCAGTTTCCCTTAGAAAGTCCCTCCACGAAGGCATCCCTCCCCTTAGGCAGATAGCCCTCGTGTGCTTTGCCATAATTAAATACACACACACACACACCTTTTCTCTCCAAATTCTTCATTCAAATGAGATCTTTCCTCCAGACTTTATTACACAACAGTCATAAAAAGTATTAAGCAAGTGGATACTATATGATGCTTCTCACTGTTTTTGCAAGAATATTTATTGCTATAGGAAGTGCTATTCAGACAGCAAATTATTTTTACTCCTTGAAGCAAAAGAACACGATCTCGTTTCCATCAAAATCGGTAACTTTCTTGTAAATACAATACTATAGTTGACTTTTTCACACTTTCATAATTATCTGCTTCTTATATTCCCAGGGTCCTTATGCTGCACAAGAATTTTCAATGTAACTTAATAAATTTTTAAATGCTAGATGATTATTTTTCAGTTACTATTTCGAAATAGCAAATTATAATTTTAAATATCATAATTCTTTGTATTCAGGCAGTTCCCGTACGCATATTTCACAAGTGCACATACGTGTAGCCACCGAGGGTGTGGCTTCTAGGATGGACCAATGGGCATCCAGTAATATTTCTGTATGTCACATGACTTCAGTGCTAAAATTTAGCAAAATGGTTGAGAATATTTGCACGTAATTTTTCGTACAATAATTAGAGCATCTTCTATTTCTTCCGAAAATTTTCATGTGAGTTAATCAAATATAAGCAAATGTGAAATTTCACTACCTGGTTGAAGAATTTAAAATAAATGGAACACATTTGGATCTCCGCAGAATATCCATGCGAAATATTACTTAATAAGTGGTAAATAAGCTGAAGAAAGAAATAGTGATAAACACAAGCTCAAATGCTATTTTACATAAAACTACGCTTAAGAAAAATATTTACCCCCATTATATATGTAAAATAAGTCAGCATTTTATTGCAGTCTATATGAAAAATATTTAAAAAAACTATACCTCGAATTTTCTAATCCACAGTTGTAAGAAATGCATAGTATTCGAGGCTAATTACAGCTTATAGAGTATTTTCTCGATGTAAAGAGCGATAATATGCCGTGAAATCAATCATATTAATGCGTGATAAAATTGCGAAAGTGAAATGTCAGCGATTAATTAAACTCATGAACGAATCTTACGAAATTTTTTTCTACTACCATACACTTATTACGCGAACAATTCAAATCAAAACGTAAACGACATACGCTCATACATGAAATTTAGCGTCCAAGAGCAATAAAAACTCATTGGTCCATTTTCGAAAGCCCTCCCTCAGTGGCTACGCTGATGTGCACTTGTGAAATATGCTTCCCGTACGATCTGACAAAAATTAATTTTGGAAAACTTAAATTGATTCTTAGATTTATCGACCAGTTTCACTTCCGATGAACATGAAAAAATAGAGAATTATTCCAAATAACTGACTTTATATGAGATGTGCATAACTGCATACCAAATGAATTTGACAGAGATGAAATGAAAAAGGAAATTTCAGAGTTTTAGAGGGTCACCCAATACTGATGCAGAATGTCATAGCCCCTATGCATTCAAAAGCTTGTTATTTGTGTTGAAAAAAATTTATTAGGTGCTTATTAACGTGTAAACGGACACAAAGTATTTAAAATAAATACAAAAATTTATACAAATGAACATCATACCAGTCAAAAAATAATAAAAATTTAACACATTTTCCTGTGAAAGCAATCGTAGTATTTATTTCTAATGTGGAACAAATTTAGGAAAACAGTAAAAACAACTGAGTGTAAACGGAACTTACAAACGACATTTCCTCTCGTGAGATACTATCGTAAATAATTTTTATATTATTTAGTTTTTTTATGGCTAGCAAACATATCGTTCTAGTAACCAACATATTGATTCTAGTAACTACACAAACTTCGTAATTGATGAATATTTACAGAGGCTAGAGCTTCCCAAAGAAGAAGCTTGAGCATCCATTAACTGAGTCATAGAACTATACCCGCATACAAAAGAAATGCATTTCATGTTCAGCTACCGTTTTCAGTTTCTACCTTAATATTAAAATAATTGGCATTATGCATTATGTTCCCTTCAATTTGACGTACCCGAATCTTTTAAGGGGGACAACTATTTCGTTATCTACGACGAGAGGTAACTGCAATAAAAGTGCCAAAATTATAGATCCTGTTAGCTTTGCTTATGGCCAATTATTTCAGGAAAGTTTTCACTCATTAAAAATAAATTTTGAATTCTTGATTCCAGCAGTCATTTCAGTGGTTAGAAACAGGTATGGAAATTCATTCAATGCAAAAAAAAAAAAAAAAAAAAAAAAAAAAAAAAAAAAAAAAAAAAAAAAAAATCTGAAATGTTTCAGATTTTAAATTACGTCCAAAGGGGCGTTTTTTAACATTTTGTGTGTTACCTTTCTTTATTAAATATCATGTTCCTCGCACTTAAACCATAAGATTCAGTGCAACAGCAATATCGCAAAATAGTTTTAAAACGAGCATATCTTTAGAATTTCCGATACAGAGACTCACGCGCTGGAGATAAAAATGTTTTTTCTGCACAACGTTGCCATTGCTCGCTTTGAAATCCTTGAGTTTGTTAATCAAAAATTCGTCAAAGTTTTAAAAAATAGGAAATCGATCATAAAACAAATTTCAAATTTCAAATTTGGTCTTCCACATGCTCATATTCGTTGGAGGATTACGTTATTCAAAAATTCGATGACTCTATGTACCGTTGTTTTTTATCACAATACGAGAAAATATACATACATTTATGCAGATTTTTCATTATTTAATTTCTTCAAATATAATGCAGGACTCTAACATTTTGTGGCAACAGTTTGAAAAGTGAACCGACATTTATCCGTCCGACGCAAAATGCCAAAACGAAACTAATAGTCCGGGATTCAAATCCCTTTGGACTAACAAATCTAATAAATGGGGCAAAGGTATTTTCAAAGAGCTCATTTCCAAATTAACAAAGATGATGGCTTTATCAGATTTTATTCTCTTTAATATAATTCCGAGATCCGATATATATGATGAAATTGAGATCTTTTGACGAAATAATTTGAATAAACTTGAATCATCCGAATTCTATGCCTAGATCAAATTATTCATTCACAGTGTCTCATTTCAGGTACTCACGTTATACCACCTAAAAGTCATATTGCTATTTTGATTTACATGCTTCACAAAACACCAGATGTGTTCCCTAACCCAGAAAAATTTGATCCAGACAGATTTTCTGCAGAAAATATGGCAACAAGGGATACATATTCTTTCATTCCTTTTTCTCTAGGCCCTAGAATCTGCATAGGTAAGTTTCGTTTCATGTTCCCTGAGAAAACTGGTATGTCACATCGTATCCGATTATTTGAAAATTTCGGGGAATTAATTGTCTTTTTACTCATAAATAGGTATTTACTGCAAGATAGATGAAAGTATTTACTTATATTTTATTGTAAATCATTTTTGCAAGAATGATGCAGATAAAAATAAAATGTAATTTTTATTTCAATAAAATTATATATATTTTCTTTTACAACATTAAACAATTGAATTGTTGCTTGTACTGCATCAAAAGGCTGCATATTATAGTAGAGAAATTTCTTACTGATAGATGGAACTGACATAAATTTGCTTTAGTTTTTAAATCTGCTTCAAGAAAAGGATCTCGTTTTCTGTAAAGGTTTGTCTGATAAAGTAAACTAAAAACAATGGGGTCTATGACAGTGCATAATAGCCTTCACAAAATGCAGTCTGTTTTCCGCAAATTTTTTTCCAATATATGTGTTGTACACAATCCTCTAAATTAATATTTTTAAGTCTATCGCAAGCCAGCTGTCAAACCTAAAAATGCGACGTATTTCAAAACTTTTGCTATATTTTGTATATATTTGAGGACCTTTGCTATATTTGAAAGACTATTCCAACGTAATATACTGTTATGAACTGTACAGGTGCGGTAAGACAGCTTCCCCACAACAAAGGAAGGCAGGATTGCCAGATTTGGCGAAAAATCACCCATTTGGTGACAAAATCGGCGATATACCATGGACGGTTGAAGAACTTTCTGGAAAGAATTATTACCGGTTTAACCCAGAATGTTCTCGAACACAAGCCGAAAGCTATGTAAACCCTGCTTGTCCGCAGTCATAGTATCGAGAGTGTGCCTCGTCTAAATTGCGAGATAGTTAGTCAGTGCGTGAGGAGTCGATCGAGTTGACAGCCGGGCAGCGAGTGCCGAGTGGGTCGTCGAGTTCACCGAAGGAGTATCTTAGCATTGACGAAAGAGCGTGTTGAGCTCCGGGAACGACTGAACCGAAGAGTCGGGAGTCTTGTGCTCTGTGTGTCGTCGAGTTCATCGCTAGTTGTAGCTTGGAGACTCTCGAGCGTACGTGGATTTCCGAGAACGACCGAGCAGAGTTGTGAGCTGTATTCTGGTACTTTGCAGTGAAGCTGTCTCCACCGTTATAGCCTGATAACCTGAAGGCTGTATCGCTGAGTGTGTCAACGTGTTTATAGGAGTTCATCGACGATTGTAAAAACGTGTTTTGGAGCTGTCCTGACAATACTGGCCAATAAAGTGTGTTTCGATACCTCATTATCAAGTGTCGTCATTATTCAGTCCAAATCTACGAACCCCGTACGAACGTCAAGGAAGAAAAAACGTAACAACTGGTGTCAGAAGAAAGGAAAAACGCAGCAATACCATCTTGCAGCCCGAGAATATATATGCATCAATCAGTATATTGAATATTATTTAGAAATAAAATAAAATGTGCTTAATATTTTAGAGGAAATCACCGTAGGTATTTAACACCTAATACATAAAAATGGGACAGTATGATTTTTTTTTTTTTTTACTTTTATACTGCGACATCTAATACTAAGAAATCTGATTGTATCATAAGAAAACATAAAGCTCAGTTTGTAGAAAAGCTGCAGACAATATTCATTATTTTAGGTTCAAACCAATTTGAAATACTGCTTCTCAAGAAATTAAGATTTGCAACGATAGAAGCATTCAAAACATTTCTCGATTTAACTTCTGTCTCAGTCATTGTTTGACTCATTATCAACTATACTGATCGACTATACAAAAGCATACACTTTGGAAGAAGGGACTCAGTCGCCAAATCCTGTTGGTGATGAACTATCATCTGCCATACTTTAGTTCTTGCGCCACTTGTCTGTAAATAGATTTATTTCGAACTTGGAAACATTAAAAATCAGTAATACCCTTCGACGGAATTTGAGCTCCGAACCTCCCAGTGCTAGCCGGATGTGCTTCCAAATATATCCAAAATGAAACGATAAGGGAGGAGAAAATTGCTTATAAATTTCTTTGACAAATAAAGGCGACCCTAACCAAAAAATAATTTCATGGCAGATGTTATGAAATATATACCGAATAACTTCGAAGAAGTTTCTCGTTTTTCTCGTCAATGTGGAAGGTTCCACTGCCTTTTGTAGCTGAAAACATTTAGCCAATGGTTTCAGATAGACCATCCAACGTCTACGTAATTCTATGCCCAGCTATATTACAGCAGCAATTTTCGTCAGTATCAAATGCAATGTTCTGATTCCTGCACATTCTGTACCCTAAAATTATCTGCAATTTTAATAATTTAAATTATATGTGTTATTTTATCTTATATAATAGTTTTTTAAGATATATATGGTTATTATGAAATACTTTCCATCTTACTTTTCAATTTTAATGACCAACATTTTATTTTGAGGAAAGCTTATTAAAATACTGCATTTGAGTTTGCATGCAAGTCATATTTTGAGGCAGTTGTAGTGGCCCAGTTATTGCATGAGAAAACATTATTTTTTATTTTATATATTTGTTCATGTGTTTAATTATTTTATAAAATTAACTTTAATATTTTGTTAATATTCATATTTATATTTCTTTTATGCTGAATGGCAACAAGTAGTTCATATTTATATTTAAATTTCTTTATGTTGAATGGCAACTAGTTCTGATTCATGATTGCTTGGTTTCGGTTTCAAAACGTTGCTATTCTAGTAGCGTCGTATTTCGATAGCTGGGAAATAAAAAGCGACAAACTTAGCTATTTGTTTATAATTCATGCTGTTCCTAATCATAATTTAGTTTTGAACATTAGTAGCTAAGGCTACACGGTTAAAAGCCAAGAATGCAATGACAGCAATAAACAGTGCTTACGTTGTGAAAAGCTCGTACTTTTTAACGAGATATAGAAAGTTAATATTTTTAATTTGTACTTGATAGATAAGAAATAGTTGGGCAGGCTTTAGATTCGATCAGAAAGTCCTCTCCAAATGTACCATCTGTGATTTTACAATAAAATAAACGTAACCAAGCAGTTATAGAGTTTGGTCTTCTTAGGAAATATAAACTGGATTCAAAACTCTAAACGAAAACTGTGAATTATCACTGTGACTTGTACGTACCACAGAGACAGGGGAAGGGTGTGAAAGACCCTTTTAATTAACTCCTGTTAGCAGTTTAACAATCATCACCAACTCGTGCTTAAAGAAGCAAACAGTTATAGCTTAAAAACATAATAAAGTACAAAGTCCGTAATCCGGACTCGTCGGGACTTCGGCGATTCCGGATTAGGGGTTTTTCCGAATTATAGATCATGAATTTAAATCTGGTAAGATGGCTTGCAGAAATTATACAATTAAAATATGAAACCGTAATTTATGAAATAAAGAGCAATTATGATCCAAAGGGTATCAAAATTTACCAAAAAAAAGCTTAATATTTATTAGTTTACTTTATTAAACATTTCTTTCAATGTAAGTTGTTTAAGTTGCTTCGTTTTTTCTGCTAATACTTTGTCTTTAATTCTATAAACAGACATAATTTCTTGTTCAGTTACAAAGTTCCACTGTTCAAGTCCTGTAATTGCTGTGTCGAGAATACCAACTAACTTGTCAATCGAAATTTTTTCGTTATCAATAACGTTCTCTGTTACTTTCTTCACTATCGGAAGCCCGCATGCGCAGCGAACGCGCGCATGTGTAAGTTTGTGGCTTTGAGGTCCGGATTATAAAATCATTCCGGATAATGATAACGTCCGGATTACGGACTTTGTACTGTATATCTCAACTTTAATGATTTGCATGTGTGGTGCTGCCATCTATTAGTCATAAAAAGAGATTAAAAGTAACGATTAGTGTAGTTTTCGTGATATTTATCGATTATTTTCAGTGTCTGAAGAGGGAATATTTTTGGTGTGTTCACACCAAACACACTGCGCCGGAAAGGGTTAAAGATAATGGATGAATTAAAAACTAATGAAAATTAAGTTAGCCTAACTGCTTCACACTTTGAATAGCACACAAGCTGGCTCTGACCTAAGGTCAGCTTAAAAAAGCCTAATGGCAAGATTAACTCAGCGTCGCAGAATACTAATCGCAAGAGAAACAATTTAGAAACGTGGCCTTTAAACAGGCAGGACACGCTCTAATTCTACCATCTAAAACCTTCCTTTAAATAGTCTCTTCTTTCTACCTCGCCCTAGGTAGAAGTTTACATTCTGGCAGGAAAATGGAAATTAGGGTGATAGGATAGAAAATTAACATAAAATAATTGGTTAAGGGACTTAAATGATAACTCTATTACAAGTCCTTATTATCACGAGAATTAAATGTTGGCACTGTTTTTCAGGTCACTTAAATGCAATGATGCAAATGAAGATAGTTTTATGCCACATTATACGGAACTTCAAAGTCGTCAGTTTGGATCCTCTGGATAAGATGAACGTTATGATGACGGCAACTCTGAGATGTGTAAATCCAATCCGTTTGAAGATCACTATTCGCGAATGAAATGCTTCTTCATGTAAATAACAACCTTTCTTAGAACATGGCAATTGTATTTTAGTGATAAGTGCTTAAAAAGTTTTCCGCTTTGAGAAATTCTAGAAATTTTTGAAAAATTTTTTGTTGTTTGCATTTTCCTTTTCTCCATCAATAATATTTGAATACTTATTCATTCACTTCTGAGTATGTAACTTACAGCCTGTACTTTATTATACAGTATACATGGTAGACATGGTATATACGATACAGTATACATGGTAGACATGGTACTATATACGGTACAGTATACATGGCATTACAATATACACGGCAGGCTTTACCGTATACCGGTCTCAGGTATACGTTTCTAACTACAAAGCTTTAAAACATTGGAGAAATTTTTAGAAATTATTTGAATATTAGAAACTTCTGTAAATATAAAATCTGACTATTAATACTAACTCTCTAGATCAAAAGCTCTGATTAGTAAAACGTTACACACGATTTATTAATTTAACAAAATGTAATGTAAATATACAAAGATAATATTAAAGCAATATTATTTTATAAGCAACATTTATTTCAAAGTTGCTCACTTTCACTATTAATAGTCATTCAGATGGAATCATTTAATGCAGTATGACTATTGAAATGTCGATAAAAATCCGTAAATGAAAGCTGTTCACTGAAAGCATGACTTACGAAAAAAGAAGAAAAGTAAACATATCGTTGATTTCATTATAAAATTCAAAATATTTAAATAGAAGTAAAAACGAAAACAAATCTGTAAGCTTTCAGATTTTATATTACGTCCAAAGAGACTTTTTAACGTTTTATGAGTTGTCTTTCTTTATTAAATATCACGTTCTTCGCACTTGAACCATAAAATTCAATTCAACCGTTATCTCACAAAATATTTAAAAAGTACGTGTCTTTAGAATTTCGGATACACAGTCTCACGCGCGCTGGAGATAAAAATGTATTTTTTTTTCCGTACAGTGTTGTAACTGCTAGCTTTGAAATCGTTGAGCTTGCTATTAAAAAATTCGGCGAAGCTTCACAAAATATGAAATAGATAATAAACCGAATTCCAAATTGAAAATTTGGGCTTTCAGATGCCCATATTCCAGTGGAGGACTACGTTATTCAAAATGTGATGGCTCTAGATTCCGTAATTTTTTCAGAACAGGAGAAACATACATACATTCATTCAGATTCTTCATTGTTTAATTTCTTTAAATATAATGCAGGGGTCTAATATTTGGCGACAACAATTTGAAAATTGAAAACCGCTTTGTGTTCTTTTTGGTGGACGGCGCAAAATTCCGAAATGAAATTAATATCCCTTCTGGGCAAATTGTCATTTTGGGTTGAAAATAGCTCTAATACATATATCATTTTCAAAGAAATATAAAATTAAAATAAATGAAATTTAAAGAAAAGTCGAAAGCGGCTGAGATTTTAAGGGTCGCCCAATAGGGCTCTTATAAAATTTAATATGATTTACCAGTAGGGATTATCAATTGAGATGGCTCAAGTGGAATAGAAGAATATTTTAGAATATACTAGATGTAGACTAACATGAGCATTATATCTTCTGTACATTTGAAAAGTGGAGAAATATGCCAAGTAATTCTATAAAGATATTTTATTTTTTTAATTAGATATATCATGATTTAACTGCATTTTTACCTAAATCAATAAGATTCAAAAATAAAAAACTAATATTTTTAGAAATTGCATCTGTTGCTTATAAACAGATTAGTTTGTGAATCAATAACGGAGAGATTAAATTTGAAAGATAAATAACTATCTTAGATTTTGCCTAATTGCAACACACTCGAATGAAAAGTTAAACAACGCGAAAGCACATTTCGAAATTAAGAGACCTTTTGGAGTAATAAACAAAATTAAGTTAAATTAAAACCATTTTATAAGCAAAACAGAAATAATTGAATGCAACATTTCACATTAATGGAATATCTTCATTGTGTTATCTTATCTTAATGGTGAGCAAATATGTAATTATATCATTCTCTTCAAGTTTTAACAAGAAGGCGCTAACAAGATTCTCTAATCATTTATGTTATGTCAAAATATTGAACACAATTATGAAAAATCATGATTAGTTACATTAATTAAAATGTAGAGAAAATACAGAAATATTTTAAAATAGGTATTAGAATTAGTCATAAACAGTCTACAACTTATAGTCTACAACTTATCTTCAAGACTTTTAGAATATCATTAAATTATCGAAATATCATGCAAAGTCGAAAGACATTAAAAAATTATATGAATTTTAATACCAATGAATTTTTGGCAACACTCTGACATAGTCTCAGTAGATGTCGGAGCATGGGTAGTCAGTTCGTCAGCCCAACACTCTGACATAGTCTCAGTGGATGTCGGACTCTTGGCTTGGGTAGAACGTTCTGCCTTTGGATCCTCTGAAGATATTTTTGGGGTCTCAAGAGATTCTTTAGGAGGTTCGTCATCCCAACAGGCTGCTGGATCATAATGGGGTATATTTTCATTTATGTCTCCCCAACTCTCCGCCCTGGTAGATCTATTGGAAGAAGAAGAAGAACACGAATTGCATAAATGAGATCCCATCAAGTGAAAAGGCGTATGCTCATCCGGATTTTCAATCACTTGGAAACACGTCAGATTTTCCCATTTCTGGAGGAGCTCGTTGTACGTTTTTGGGGGATGGATTCTTCTCTAACTGATCGTAGGCCTTATCAAAAGCTTGCAGAGGATCTTCCTCCTCTGGCTGTTTGACCTCTTCCTCCTCTTCCTCCGTTCCGTCTGGACAGAGTCGTAGCTAGGGTTTTCAGCGCCCAGGGACAACTGAAGATTTTGCGCCCCTACTGCTTGCCAAGGATGGAAAACATTTAATTCTAAAATTTCGTAATATCAATTTGGCGCCCCTTGGATGCTGCGCTCGGGGACAGATGTCCCCCCTTGCCCCCCTCTAGCTACGCCCCTGCGTCTGGATAGATGTTATTGATATAAAAATCCCCTTCCGTAATATGCCACCGATAGTTGCCTCAGCTCGCAGTCTACCAGTCTTATATTTACTCCTGCTAACCTACCTTTTTTGTCTTTTTAGCTTTATTATTAAGCATCGTTTCATTCGCATTTCAGCCATAAACAATTCGATAGCAAAGTCACAAAATATTTAAAACAGCATGTTGTTAGAACTTCCGGCTAGACAGTCTCGCGTGCTAGAGACAAAATCGTTTTATTCCATGCAGTGGTGAAACTGCTCGCTTTCAAATTAATTGAAGTAATTAATTAAAGTTTTAAAAATATATAATAAAAAGTAAAATTGTATAATGTCTATGAAAATACTTCATATTTGTATTTACGCAGATCATGAATTAATGCATTTTTATTTTTTTCAATCAAACCGATTCAAAAGAAACAAATATTAGAAACTGCATTTATTGCTTTCGAATAGCTCAGTTTGTTAATCCACAAGAAATAGATTCAGTTTGAAAAATAAATATCTTACTTTTTCCTGAATGTAATAGACTCAAATGAAAAGCGAAACGATGCATTTACGGTGAATCGATGCGAAATCTCATTTCGAGACTAATAGCATTTTTTGGGCTATACAAAAAAGAATCTAAGAGCTACAGGATCATAATTTTGTTTTCTGAGCATGGATATAAATAATCTGTTATTACTGTATTTTTCTTGCAATTGAAAAAACAATTATTAAATTTTGTTCAATCTACCTTCAAAATAGCAAATAGCAGATTATTTTCATAGTTATGGGATATTACCATGAAAAACATCTCTAGTAATGGACAAGTTATGGTCAGCTGAATATTCCCGACGAAACAGTAATAGATTGCAACTATAACTTAAGAGAAATTTGTACTCATCGATCTTCCAGTAAAACTGGAGTGAGGTTTTAGTAAAATCGGAGGAGCTAGAAAAATATTATTACGTAGAATAAAAATGAAATAAATTTGAATATGACAATTAGAATTCTTCTGTTGATTATCAGAACAGCTGATGCCGAACAAATATATTAAGATAAAACTGACTTAGAATCTGTTATCAAGAAACTGGTGATTGCGGTTAAACTAAATATAGAAATACGTCAGCTTTGTAAGGAAAATTAAATTCATTTGAAACTAAAACTCTCCAAATCAATATCATTGAAATTGGAGTGAAATAATTTCTTCACTGGTGGCTTGTTATTAAGTTAAAACATATTTTCAATAAAGACAAATGCATTTCATTTCAAAATTCCCAATATGCTTTCTCTCTTTAAAAATGCTATAATGTTCCTGCTTTCCTGAAACTAAGTAAATAACATACACATGCCAATATATAATAATTACTAAACTGTAGACATGACCACATACTTAATTCATTGAGATGCGGATACAAAACTCCTCCAGACGCAGAAAGGAAAAGCCATAGATGAAATGATGAAACCGCATGGAATAAAGAAACGCTATAGGTTAGCAGAAGGAAGCAAGAAGATGGTAAAAGAACATCATGGCGGTCACTACTTTCTACAAGAAGAAGAAGAAACTCAGCTGCCGAGAGTAAAGCAAAAGCATAACCCAGCCGAAAGAGAAAAGCCGAAGAAAAGTAAGTAGGTCCTCAACTTTGCTGTCAGCAGATGAAAGTAATTAAGCACCAGAATCTACCTGTGAGACGCAGTGCAACACCGTCCTACCTAACTGGTATAGATTACATCCAGCAAAAAATATTTTTTCTAAACAAGCACTTTGAAGTAAGATGAGGTGCTGCACAAGAAAAAGTCTTTTCCTAAAATGTTAAGTCCTGATGAAAAATGTACGATAGCCAGATTCATAGCATTATTTTTGACATGCCCAGCACATGACGATACTGCTAAACTAGCTAGTGAACACAATAGCAAAAATGCAGGTAAAAAAATACGAAAATAATCAGACACAATTGCATGTAAGAATAAAAACAACACCTAACATTGCAGGAAAAAAGGAACATCTAGTACACACTCAAATAGAAAAATTACATACTGTACGATAACTGGTAGATTAATTAGTCACCCGGTAAGAAATACGCTTCTAATTTCGACATCCACATAAGGTGGGGGCTATTAAATG